ATCCCGTACTACTGGGACTGAATCAATAGAAGGGGTATCCATGCTGGCATCTCTCACATAAGCTAAGTACACATCATAACCTTTCTCAACCATACGCTGAGCCTTAAGGAAAGAAATAACTCTACTGGGAGTGTAACCTAAGGCACCCCTCCACTCAATATGCGGTACACCTGGCATGGCCAGTGTCACGGTTTTGGCGTGACAATCAAGAATAGCATGATGGGGCGACAACCAGTCCATGCCCAAAATAATATCAAAATCAACCATACTGAGCAATAGTAAGTCAGCTCTGGTCTCAAAACCACCAAGAATAACCAAACATGACTGGTAAACGCGGTCCACAACAAGAGAATCTCCCACAGGAGTAGAAACATAAACGGGAGAACTTAAAGAATCCCGAGGTACACCCAAATGCGGAGCAAAATAAGAATACACATAAGAATAAGTGGAGCCTGGATCGAATAGAACCGATACATCTCTGTGACAGATCAAGATAGTACCTGTAATGACATAATCGGAGGCGGCGGCCTCAGTACGGCCTGGAAAAGCATAATATCTGGCCTGGCCTCCCCCTCGAGGGCGACCTCTACCTCCCCGACCTCCACCTCTGGCTGGCTGGGCCGGTGGAGTAGCAACCGGTGCTGGAACCATAGCCTGAGAGCTCTGCGGGGCCTGCTGTGGCTGAGGAGTCTGCGGAGGTGCACCCCTCTTGAGTCTGGGGCAATCCCTCACCATATGGCGTGTGTCACCACACTCAAAACAAGCTTTGGGAGGACGTGGCGGCTATGACTGGCTCGGGCCAGGTCTGCTGGACTGACCACTGGAAGCACCCCGTGCAGGAGGCGCACTAGAGAATGGAGGTGCATAATACGGCTCCTGAGGCCTAGGTGGAGCTGGAATACCACTGGCTGCTGGAAGATCTGTATGAATGGGGCGACCCATATGACCCCTACCATGACGACCTGTAGCTGGGGCACGGGCACCAGAATAATGGCCCGACTCTCGAGACCTCTTGGCCTCCCTCTCCTCTTTGTCCCTAGTATGCATACCCTCAATCCTCCTAGCAATGCTCACCACCTGCTGATAAGATATATCCATCTCTAACTCACGAGCTATGTTAGATCTGATGCTGGGAATAAGCCCCTCAATGAACCGACGAACCTTCTCGCGAACCGTAGATACCAAAGTTGGTGCATGTCTAGCCAAGTCAATGTAACAGACAGCATACTCCGAGACAATCATAGTACCCTAGCGCAAATGCTCAAACTCCGCGCGCCAGGCGTCCCTAAGACTCTGGGGAACATACTCCCTCGTGAACACATCCGAAAACTGAGCCCAAGTCAGGGAAGCTGCTTCATCCGGACTGTCTAACTCATAAGCACGCCACCACTGATAGGCGGCTTCTCGAAGCTGGAAAGTGGTGAAGGAAACCCCACTCGATCCTAATATGCCCATAGTGCGGAGAATACGGTAGCACTCCTCCAGAAATCCCAAGGCATCCTCTGATGCTAACCCACTGAATACAGGAGGATCATATTTCTTGAACCTCTCAAGTCTCCGCTGCTCATCCTCTGAAGCCGCTGCCCTATCCTCGGGCTGAACTGGTACTGCAGGCGGCGCTGGTATAACCTCTGGGGCCTGCTCAACATGCACTCGCTGCTCAGGAGTGCGGGCGGCGGGAGTCTGTACTCCTCCCCCGGCCTAGGATGTGGCTGCAGCGAGGGAAGCAACCCTGCCTGAGCCAAAGTGGTGTACATGCTCATAAACTGTGCCAAAGTCTCCTGGAGCGCTGGAGTAGTAGTGGCAGACGTATCAGGTGTCTGGACTGGTACTGCTAGTGGTACCTCGGCGGCAGCTCGCGCGGGTGCTCTGGCGGCACCACGAGTGCGTCCTCGACCTCACCATCAGTGAGAGAGTAGAAAGACAGAAGTTTATTTGTGATATCGAAAACCTCGCATGACAAGGAAATCAAATGAAGTGGAAATTTTCCTAACAGTTACATAGCCTCTCGTAGATAAGTACAGACATCTCCGTACCAATCAGCGAGACTTTAATAAATCGGCCTGTGTTCCGTGACTCCTATGAACCTAGAGCTCTGATACCAACTTGTCACGACCTCAGTTCGCCCTCCGTGAACTGTCGTGACGGCACCTAGTCCCTACGACTAGGTAAGCCTAACAAGTGCGGAAAAACAATCGAAACCTTGCGGAAATTATAACTTAAAGCCAAGATTTAACATAATGGAAATGAAATGTAAAATGCCACTCGGCACATACAGCACAATATCTCAAACTTCTACAATACTATCCCAAAACCCGGAAACTCACGGGAACACAAGCTGAGAGAAATATGGTAAAAATGCTCTAACTTTGGAATGTCTACATCAACAGTATGATAGAAGGGCTAATACTACAAGATAGAATAAAGATGGAGACTCTTCGATCTGCGGACGCAGCAGATGTACCTCGAAGTCTCCAAAAGCTCTCCCTGCCTCAAGGATGGTAAGCCTATGTAGAAGTACCTGGATCTGCATATGAAAAACATGCGCAGAAAGGGCATGAGTACACCACAGCGGTACTGAGTAAGTGCCAAGCCTAACCTCGGTTGGGTAGTGACGAGGAAGGTCAGGGCCCTACTGAGGTTAAATAAGATATAAGGTTTAACAATGTGAAATAACCGTGTAATTTAATAACACACGATATGAAGGATAGCAACAACTATTACAAGGCAAGTAAAATACAGTAAAAGAACGCAACTCAGCTCCAAGATAACAACCGGGGATCTCCCAGGATACCGTCCTGTAGTCCCCAAATATGAATATCATCTCCAGTGGATCACCCGGGTGCAGTCCCGTAGTCCAACTCATAAATGTGGATGGGGATCTACCAGAATGCAATTCCGTAGTCCCAAAGTAAACATATAGGGGAGCTCCCGGGATGCCGTCCCGTAGTCCCAAAGTGAAAGTGCAGGGGGGGATCTCCCGGAATACCGTTCCGTAGTCCCAAAGTAAATACACAGCAACAACAAAAATTCAATAAATGCTAAATTTCGTACTAAGTAAACAGATAAGTCTATCCTAACATGCCTCACGTAATGCAATTAAGGCAATTTAAGCAAATAGGCAATTAAGTCAACTAAACATGCTTTTCTAAACTAACAACGAGTTAAAAACGCAAGTATAATGAAACAGGAGAAGGAACTCAATTTAGATACTTAAAGAAAATCGGATTTTCAACAATTAGCTCAACTACGCGCTCGTCACCTCACGTACGAGGCATTTCAATTACCACGATATCAATCCTAAGGAGAAAGGTCCCCCACACAAGGTTAGACAAGCCACTTACCTCGAACCGGCTCAAAATCAACTCGAAACCACACCTTTGCCACGAGTATCCGACTCCAAATGGCCCAAATATATTCAATTCAATTTCATAATGTAAATAACACTTCAAATAATTGATTCTATAATTAAATTCTAATCTAAGACGCGAAATTAGGTCAAATGACCAAAATGCCCCTCAGGCCAACGTCTCGAAATCGGGTGAAATTTATATTTTCAGAAACCTCGTACTCCCACGAGTCTACTCATAACAAGAACACTGAAATCGGAGTCCAAATGACCCCTCAAATCCTCAATGAAAGGTCTAAGGACTTTTCCCCCAATTTCTACCAAAATTCCGAAATTATTTGATGAAATTACTAAAGATTGATGGAATATGACTAGAAAGGGTTAAAGAATCGTTACCCAGAGATCTCCTCTTCAAATCCCACTCAAAATCGCCATCTCCCGAGCTCTAATTCGATTTTTCAACTTTTGAAACCAAACCCTCGAAATTTCATATTTCTGCCCAGCTATTTCCGCACCTGCGGTCCTGCTTCTGCGGACCAAAATGTCGCATATGCGACTTTCATTAAAGAGCCCAGGAGACGCATCTGCGGTTCTTCTTTCGCAGATGCGAAACCGCATCTGCGGTGAAACTTCTGTATCTGCGGAACCTGGAGGAAACCCAAAATTCGCATCTGCGCTTGCCTTGCCGCATCTGCGGCGCCGCATCTGCGGTCCCCAAACTGCAGATGCGGAAATATCAGAAGTAGCAAAAATCTGCAATCTCTTAACTTTAAAATCTTTCCGCCAACCATCCGAAATCATCCCGAGGCCCCCGGGACCTCAACCAAAAGCACCAATCACACCTAATACCCATTCAACTTGTACCAATCATTAAACCACCTAAAACAACATCGGAAACTCGAATTAATCAAGGATTTAAGCTTAAGAACTCCAAATTTCCTCAAAATACGCTTTCGATCAGAAACCTAGCCAAACCATCTCCGAATAACCTGAAATTTTACACACACATCCCAAATGACATGAAGGCACTACTGCAAGTCTCGGAATTCTATTTCGACCCTCGGATCAGAATCTCACTATCGAACCGGAAACTTCCAAAATCCAACCTTCGGCATTTCAAGCCTAAATTAGCTACGGACCTCCAAAACACAATCCGACCATACCCCTAAACCCGAAATCACCTAACGGAGCTAACGGAACCATCGGATTTCCATTCCGAGGCCGTCTTCTCACTGTTCCAACTACGGTAAATTTTCTAACACTTAAGCTCTCATTTAGGGACTAAGTGTCCCAAAACTCTCCGAAACTCAAAATCGAACATCCCGACAAATCAAAATAGCAGAAATAAGCTTGGGGAGAAGCAGTTAATAGGGGATCGGGGCATAAATTCCAAAAACGACCGGCCGGGTCGTTACAAATATAGTATATATGTATGCTAAATCGGTATACTATGTGAGTATAGAATTGTGCTGGTTTGTCTATTTTTTTATCAGCAAAATATGATACTGATACAGTATATAGGTATGCTATATGAGTATACTATGTGAGTATATAATTGTACGGATTTTTGTGTTTTTTTTTATCAATAAAACATAATACATAACTGTATTTGTATTATAAACAGGTATACCCTTGAATGCGTGGATGAAAGATGCACTGGAGACTTAAAGCATCAAGCCTGCGAGCATCAAATAATTTCAAAGTGACGGATTTCAATTCTGTCCTCAATTGTTTAAATGATAAGAGATTTTGTTCACAAAAGCAAGCTGTCTCAGCTTTTGTTGCAGCTGTGGTACAAGATAAACTTGTTGACCCGAAAATCATATATACAACAACAGATATCCAGAGAGACATCCAAAAAGCATATGGTATGGACTTGAGCTACATGCAAGAATAGAGATCAAAAGAAAAAGCAATGCAATTGTTGAGAGGAACACCAAGTGAGTCATACAAGAAAATACCAACATATCTCTATATGTTAGAGTACGTTAACCCAGGATCAGTGACACGACTACACACTGAAGGAGATGGGAGCTTCTTGTATGCATTCATAGCTATATATGCATCGATTAGAGGATGGATCTATTATAGGCCAACAGTTGTAGTTGATGGAAGTTTTTTAAAGTCAACATATAGAGGGACCATACTCACGGCTTCCACGCAAGACGCAGAGGGTAAGAATACAATTCAATTACATTCAGTTAAAGAAACAAAAAAGATTTTCAAATATTATATGATACCAGTATGGTATAAAAGTATACCAACATAGTATATAATTATTTTGCTACATACCTGCACCTACCTATGACTATACTACTATATGAAATGCTAAATTAATATTGTGTGTTGTAATTGATATTTTGTTCTTTGGGTTTGCAGGACAAATTCTACCCCTCGCATATGCAATTGTTGATTCGGAAAATGATGCATCGTGGGAGTGGTTCTTCGTGCAGTTCAGAGAAACCTATGGACAAAGAGAGGGAATGTGCATTGTATCAGACAGGCATGATGGTATATGGAGAGCAACTTCAATTATCTATCTAGAAGTCCCTCATTGTGCATGCATGTTCCATATGTGGAACAACATAAAGACAAACTTCAGGAAGAGCCAAAAACAAATCAAAGAAGTATACTTTGCGTTAGCAAGAGCATACATTGTTGAAGAATTCAACAGACATATGGCAGAGTTAGAAGCTATTGATAGTAGAGTGAAAACATACCTGATGGATATTGTATATGATAAATGGTCCCGGGCGCATTCCAAGGCAAATAGAACCATGACCATGACATCGAATATTGCAAAATTAGTAAATGCGGCGAACAAGCATGCAAGAGACCTCCCAGTTGTGAATTTGCTTGACTTCATGACAACATTGATTAAAAAATGGAATTACACCAATCGGAAGGATGCAGTGGAATCATTTATGAAGATTGGTGCAAAGTATGAAAAAATATTGTCAGATAATACTATCTTATCACAGACGATGACGGTATGCATTTTCAAAATCATAAAAACACCGCATGTACTGTAGTTTTACTTTTGTACCTTAGTGATTTCACTAAACAACTGAATATTGTTGTTTTAAAAATACTATTATTTCATATAGCTAATGACTTTTCTTAATTAAAATTATATTAGGTGTTGCCATCAACTCAATTCTTACATTTAGTAATTGATTGCCAAACAAGAAATGTGGTGTGCCTACATGAAAAAAATTGTACTTGTGGGAGGTTTCAGCTAGACGATATTCCATGTCCACATGCAATGGCAGTTATACAAAAATTCCATATGGATTCATACAAGTATTGCTCGGATTACTACAGCATAGACTACTTGCTGAAAACATATGAGCTACCAGTAAATCCTTTGCCTGATGAAACAACGTGGCAAATTCCAGAACATGTCTCTTCGCAGGTGGTAGTGCCACCAAAAGAAAAAATCAAACCAGGAAGACCTAAAAAGAAGAGAGGCATAGGAGGCTGGGAAGGAAATACAGTTACATGTGCACTATGCGGGAGAAAAAGACACAACTGGAGAACATGCCAAAATATTCCAAAGAGAGATTGATATAATGCTTCAATATTTTTATAGAACTCATATATCGTAGAATCATATCATTTGAATTGCAAAGAAATAAAATGCATTTCTTGCACTAGACATATATTTGGTATGATGATTCTTTGCCAAATTACTTTTTGGCAACAAATTTATATGGCTACTTGTGTTTTCAATAAGAATATGTTTATTTTCTATTTTACTATATAAAAGTGGGATGCATTTACATCTAGTTGCTGCACGAAAAAAGATGCTAAAATATAAATGTGATACCCAAGTGGTATATCTGTATACCTTATTGGTATCAAAATATGTGCAGAAATAGAAGTGGTGCCCCAAATGCAACATTTGTACATACATCGTTAACAAAATGGGCACGCTTTGCAGCTCATGTTTGTATTGAAGTATAACAAATTGGAAGTCATTTACATGCAGTTATTGTACATCATCAGGTACATAAATACAAGGTGATACCCAAATGGTATATTTGTATACCTTACTGGTATATAGTTGTATTGCACTAATATGGCTAAACCAAAATATGCGCAGAAATACAGATGGTGCACCAAATACATCGTGATACCCAAAATGCGCACGCTTTGCAACTCATGTCAGTACTTACATCTAGTTGCTGCAGGAAAAAAGGTACTCAAATACAACGTGATACCCAAATGGTATATCAGTATACCTGATTGGTATATAGTTCTACTGTACTAATATACCTGAACCAAAATCTTTGCAGAATACAACTGGTGCAGCAATGCAAATTATGTACAGATTTTCTTAGATTCAACTACAACTAACAACTACTCTCAATATAATTTCAAAACCAGTTCACTTTCTAAAATATTTTTTCTCATTCAAATCTATACTCGCCCTGTTCTTCAACAAAATAACAACATAGTTCCTCTTTTTGAACGTCGTAACTCCCTTAAAAATACACCTCCAAAAACAACTTCTGCTGGTGTATTACAACGAACTAACAATGCTCCTCCTACTACAATGGCAGTAGGAGTAGGAACTAACAGTGCTGCTGTAACAGCCATGTTCTACACTAATGACTTGACTTCAAGTGCTAACAAAATTCTGTCTCCGAAAGGCACTCCTAATAAACCAACAACTTCATGGAAGAAGCCTAAGAAAAGCCTAATAAAACAAACTGAAGATAGATTCCAATATTAAAACAGTTATAGCAATATATTGTACTATTACAATTGTATTCCTAGAAAACACGTTTAAAAGCTAGCATTTTTATAATCTAATAATGCAAAATACCATACTTCACCAAAAACTATTAAAATCCTGCAAAGTTTTCATGCTACAATTAACTAAAACAAAAAAGAGACCTATACTAGTTCTTGCGTTTCTTTCCATGAGTCTTTTTAGGTGCTACTTGTCACACCTCCTTTTTTCACTATACCCCCGGAGGGGTATAAAGGAGTTTTTCCAATTAAAGGACAATCGAAACGGGATCATTTATATTAAGAAATTCAGAGTCGCCACTTGGGAGATTTATGGTGTCCCAAGTCACCGGTTGAATCCCGAATCGAGGAAAATATTGACTCTGTTTAACAGTCCGCGAACCAGAAATCCGAGTAAGGAATTCTGTTAACCCGGGAGAAGGTGTTAGGCATTCCCGGGCTCCGTGGTTCTAGCACGATCGCTCAACTGTCATATTCGGCTTAAATTATCTAATTTTAAACAATTATGAACCTACGTGCAAATTTTAACTTTTAACCGCTTTTATTTATTTTTAGAGAAAATTGCAACGTTATTAAAACACGTCTCAAACCACGTCACATAAATGCACCCGAGGTTTTTGACATATTTTAACATCGTTGAGATTTGGATTTGGGTCACATAAATGCGCACCCGAATTTAGGAAAGTAATATTATTAAACACACGCCTAAAGCAACTACGCATTTGCACTTTGTGAGGGCCATGGAATTTGCTAAATGGCACGCCTCGGAATCTAAATATTTTAAAGACATAATTAAAGAGGTCCAAGCATTTGAAATTTTGTTAGGCTCGGCACACCTTTATTTTAATTCTAAAGGAAATCTAAACTATGTCTTGGAGGGCCATAAGCTACTTATGCTAAATATGGCACGCCCCAACTAGTTGGAGAAAATTAATCAATCCACCATTAATGGGCAAGAATTATACCACGATTAGGGCTAACAACTTATTTTAACTAATGGAAGGGGTTAGCTGTTTGGAGTTGGGCTTCTGGCCCAGCATGATGCCTGGAGACTACGGATGTACACCATTCAATGTTGGGCCCAAGAAGGAGCCCAAATGAGAAATAATCAACTCCCACACAAGCCATCAAGTCCCAGTAACGAACATATCATGCTGGGATCAGTATGGGTAATTGAAATTCATCACAGCTGGTACTAGATTGAATTGAAACTCCATGAGATCGAGATTTACCAAAGAAAACACAAAATGAAATTCAAACTATGAAATGTTGCATCCACAAATTTATTCCTTCCAGCTTCTGACTCTAATATCTATTGAAGACGAACAAAGGACAATTGCATACACTCTTTAAACAAACAACTCGATCTTGGTAGATAATCAATTACGGGCAGTAAAGGAACAAGCCACAAATTAAGACCAACTCGTCCCATTTGGATCGTTTACAGATGCATCAAACTGAGATTAAAAGCCTCGAAACATAAAGCTATGTGTTCAATTAGTTCTTTTTAGTGTTCACAATGCCCAAACAGTTAACAATTGAATCCACAATTGACCATTCATGGGACTGTATCTATTTGCTCAAACCGAAGTTAAAATCACTATATGAAGACCAAAAGTGGCCAGTGGCCTCATAAGCCTTAAATTTATACGTTACAACTCATCGTTTGTTTTCCAAATTAGGGGGGAAAGGATCAGTAAACAAGCAAGGTTAATACTAAGCTTACAAATTCAACACCAACTTAATCAAGGCCTACGAATTAATCAGTATCCATACAGCTGATTTGTTCATTAACAGAAGCTCAAACCTCGAAACAAATCTAAATATGAAACACTCAAGGCAAAGACCCAAAGCTAATTTCGAGATACAACAACATGATCATGAGGAAATAGCATTTCATTAGGCTAACATGATTTAGATCTCGACTGCAATCCAAAAGTATACCTATCGACATGCTAATCAAGGCGTTTCTAATGCCAGATATTACAGTACGCAAGTAAGCAAAGAAGACAAGTAAGATTTGATATGAACAACTTCATCTCTTATTCCAAACTCAAATCCCAACCTCGACCACATTTAGATGATGACCATAGTGTTATTGGGCATACCTGGAAAAGCAAAGTCAGGGAAAAGAAGAAGATCAGCACAGCAAGAGCAATATCAAACAGCAGCAGTTCAACAGAGTCAACCCCAGCAGAACCAGCTCAGAACCCAAAAGGAGTATGAAAAGCAGCAGAAAAACAGTTTTCCTCTAACAACAACCAAAACAGCTTCAAATACCAACCCTTAAACACCCATTTCAATCCATTTTGACACTAAAAGAATCAGGAAATCTTTCGAAAATTGAGTACTTGAAAATCACTAAACGATTCTTCAATGTAAAAGTAATTCCATTCAAAATTTTCTACCGTCTCTGGTTTTCTACAATTTTTCTCTCTAATCTCTATCAAATAGTAAGGTGTGCAGCCTCTTTGGGATTTTCTGTATTTTTCTATCTTCAGCTCTCCAAATTTTCCTCTCAGATTTTTCAGGATGTTCCAGGTTCTATCCCCATCTTCAAAGGCAAGGTTAAAATGCCTTTACAGGCAAGCAAAGTAGGGTAACCCTCAAGTTTTAATTTTGCATTTGAGTCCCTTATTTTGTGACTTGTTTCCCAAGTTATATCCTGAAAATTACTAACAGATCCCTGCTAGAAGTTTCCAGATCAGTTACAAAAAGATTCCTTCCTATCCAGTCTACCCAAATTACCCTCGTAACTACTGTTATTTACCCTCCCATCCCAATCCAACTATGGGTCAGGCCACACCCAACGAACAGAGCTCTAAAGCTGTTGCTGGGACGGGTTATAGCAAATTAAAAGCCCAATGACCTTATCCTATTCCGAGACTCCAAAAATTCCAACCCAAATACCCCCTTTAACAAATAAACAATGGCTCCTAAATAGCCTAATCAATTTGACGACATAAACTAAGTCAGTTCTAACCAATTAACACGACTAAACACATTAAACCAAAATCATTTCATGCGGATTAGAACTGCAACCAGATGAAGACGAAAAATAAATAAAACACTGGAAATGGAGGAAACACAGAATAAGCTTAAATAATTGAATTGACGAGGGAGACAACGCAAAAATAGACGGAGACAAAGAAGCCAGTGCAAAGAATGGATACCTCTACGGCCACGAGGCTTGATAAACTTCAAACGACTTCGATTTGACTCGAAACTAGTGTTAACCATACGTTCCCCTTGAGAACAAACGGGCAATACTTGTTTCAAGCCTAATCGTTCATCTGACTCAAAGACTTGAGAGACTTTCTTCTCTTTCAATCTCAGATTTGAAAATCGATCTGATTTGGCGAGGATTTTGGGAAAAATGGTGAAAGAATAGGATACAAGAAGGGTGGTGATGGCATGGCCAATTTCTGGTGGTGGTTGAAGCTTCTCGCCGGCGACCATGGCTGAATAGGGCTTCAGATGTAAGGGAGATGGAGTAACGGGTGTATTTGGGGGAAATAAAGAGTCTCTGATTTCGGACATTATTATGTGAAAGAGGGGAGGCTTTCTTGGCCATTGGATCAGGTGGAGATCAATGGTTCAGATTGTTTTGACTCCATTAACTGAAAACGACGTCGTTTCTAAGCTCCTGAGGCTGAGGGCTTTGGGCCTGGTATTGGCGGGTCAGGGGGGACTCAATTGGGCCTGGGTGAGCGAATTAGTGACTGGCCCAAAAATCTCTTTTCTTTTCACAAATTCTTTTTTGTTGTTTTCAAAATTAGAAAAAATCTAAATTAATTCCTAGACCCTAATTGGCCTAAATACACTAATTAAACCCAAATAGTAATTGCCATAATTAATAAAGGAACACTAACTGAAAGAAAACTACTCAAAAATCAAAAATTAAAACCAAAAGTGCAAGTTAACTATTTTTGTGATTTTCCTTTTTATAAAACAATTGATTTTCCAATTAATCCTAAAATGCAAAGTTAAATCCCAAATGCAAAAAATGCAAGATATTTTTGTATTTTTTATGAATTGAAATGCACAGACAAAATGCGAACAAATACCAGAAAATGTCACAAAATTAACAAAATTAAAAATAATTAAAAAAAATGAAAAGAAGTCATTTTGTTTGAAATTATGGGAGTAATTCATATAGGGCAAAAATCACGTGCTCACAGTGTGTCACCTTGGGGTACACCAGTTCTATTTGTGAAAAAGAAGGATGGTACTATGCGGATGTGCATCGACTATAGATAGTTGAACAAAGTTACAATCAAGAACAGGTATCCTTTGCCGCGTATTGATGATTTATTTGACCAACTTTAGGGAGCGAGGGTGTTCTCTAAGATCGATTTGAGGTCTGGGTATCACCAGTTGAAGATTCGGGACTCGGATATTAATAAGACAGCATTCAGGACACGCTATGGTCATTATGAGTTCCTTGTTTTGTCTTTTGGGCTGACCAACGCTCTAGCAACATTTATGCATCTGATGAACAGTGTATTTTAGCCTTATCTTGACTCGTTTGTCATAGTATTTATTGATGACATCCTGGTATACTCCCGTAGCCAGTAGGAGCATG